TGAGGGAGACAATTTTGGATATTAGATGTATCTTGGCTAAAAGCAAAACATACCTTAAGAATGTTTACTTGTACTTTACTGACTATGCAAAGGAATTTGTGTGATTAACAACAAGCTATTGATAACATTGCAAAGAATGGGAATTCCAGAAAACTTTATTGTGTTCATGAGGAACTGTACATAGACCAAGAGGCAGTCTTTCAAACAGAACAAGGGGATACGGAATGGCTGAAAATCAGGAAAGGTGTGCATTAGGGTTGTATCCTTTCACCATACTCATTTAATATGTCTGCTAAACAAATAATCTGAGAAACTGGACTATAAAAAGAAGAGTACAATGCCAGAAGGCTCATTAACAATCTGCAATATGCAGATAACCCAATCTTATTTGCTGAAAGTGAAGGAGAATTGAAGTATTAACTGATGAAGATCAAAGACTACAGCCTTCATGTGGATTACACATCACTATATAAAGAAAACAAAAATCCTTACAACTGGATCAATAGATAACATAGTAAATAATAAATGGAGAAAAGACTAAAGTTGTCAAAGACTTCATTTTGCTTGGATCCATAATCAATGCTCATGGAAGCAGCAGTCAATAAATCAAAATATGTATTGCAATAAGAAAATCTGCTGCACAAGACCTCTTTAAAGTGTTAAAGAGTATAAAGATGTCACTTTGAGGACTAAGGGGTGCCCGACCCTAGATATGGTATTTTCATTCATCTCAAATGCATGTGAAAGTTAGACAGAGAAAAAGCAAGATCATAGATTTGATGCAATCGAATTACAGTGTTAGAGGAGAATATTGAAAGTACCATGGGCATGCAGAAGAACAAACAAATGTATACTGGAAGTACAGTGACAATGCTCCTTAGAAGCGATGATAGCTCATATTTTTATCACTGAGTAATATTCCCTTGTATAGATGGACCAGAGTTTGTTTAGCCATTCATTGAAGGACATCTTGGTTGCTTCGTCTTTCCTGCTTTGGACATGTTGTCATGAGGGACCAGTCCCTGGAGAAGGGCATCATGCTTGAAAAAGTGAAGTCAACTAAACACGATCATCGCCAACCAATGAAATGGATTGATACAGTGGCAGCAACAATGGGCTCAAACATAACAACTGTGAGTATGGCATAGGACTGGGCAGTGTTTCGTTCTGTTGTACATAGGGTTGCTACGAGTCAGAACCAACTTGACGGCAACTAACAACAACAAAGACTCTTGATGAAGATAGTCTGGACTGAGCACATTTGTCACTATATCCACCACCATTACAATGGTGACCATATCTACCACCAACATTACAATGGTGACTCAACCCCTCACAGTGACTAGCAATGAATTAATGCCACCCATTCCAAAGGAGTACTGGGGTGGCACTATAGGATAAGCTCTGTACTGTTAACTAAAAGGTTGGTGGTTCAAACCCAGCAGCTGCTCCTTGGAAACCCTATGCAAAGTTGCTATGAGTCAGAACCAACTTGAAGCACTTAACAATAACAACATTTCAAAGGCTCTGTCTGCTGCCCCTCATCTTTCCTCTTCCTTCCCTTATTCTACCTTTGCTGTTGTTACATGCCATCCAGTTGGTTCTGACTCATAGCGACCCTGTATAGGGTTTCCAAATAGCAGCTGGTAGTTTGAATTATCGAACTTGTAGTTAACAGTCCAGTACTTATCCTACATTGCCACACCAGAACCAAGACATTTGAAATCCCCAAAACACATGCACGAGAACTGAGCTAAGAGAGTACTATGTTTTTCATCCAGGAGACTTCTATTCTTCTGGCCAAAAGAATGCAGTGACCATCAACAAGTAAAAGATCTTTTGCCAGATAAAAACGGACGTTCGTGAGACTGCAAAATATTATAACCACTTTTGAAGACAGTTTGATGATTTCTTACAAAGTTAACATTGTTTTATCATATAATCCAGCAATCACATTCTTGGGTACTTATCTAAATGAGTAGAAAACATATTTCACACAAAAACCCTATATAAGAATGCTACTGCAACTTTATTCATAAGTGGCAAAAATCGGGAGCAACCAAGATATCCTTCAATGAATGGCTAAATAAACTGTGGCATGTGCAAAGGAATCCATCCATACAAGGGAATATTATTCAGTGATTAAAATATGAGCTATCAAGTCATGAAAAGGTATGGTGGAACTGTAACTATATATTATTAAGTAAAAGAAGTCAGTGTGAAAAGGTTGTGGACTGTATGACTCCAACTATATGAAATGATGGAGAAGGCAAAACTATGAAGACAGTAAAAATATGATAGGGACTTTGGAGGAGGCAACAAGGGATGAATGAATAAGTGGAGCACAGAGTATTGTTCAAATGGTGAAACTATTCTACATGATACATGACATTATGCATTTGACAGAACTACAAAACAAAGAATCAATCCAAATGTAAGCTAGGAACTCCAGTTACTACTAGTGAACTAATATTGGTTCATAAGTTACAACAAATGCATCACATAAAACAAGATTTTAGTAAGGAAAACTGAGGTGGGAGAGGGGGTATATGAAAACTGTAATTTCTGTGTAATTGTTCTATAAATTTATAACTTCTTTTAAAATGTCTATTAAATGCTTCTTAGAAGAGAATGCCAAGTAAGAGTAAAAGATTGAGGAATTAAGAAACTGAAAACTAAGAAATGGGGGACGTTGGAGAGAGAAAGTATTATTATAGCTGCTTCCTTTCCTATCCTGTCAACGTGGATTTCAGCCCAGTTGAGGTTTGGTAATCTTCAGTCTCAACCCCAACTTTCATGGGCAGTCTTTAAAGAAAAGAGCCCTTCCTCATTCCACAGGGGAGAGGGAGTCAGAGCTAAGACAGCCAGAAATAACATGCTGAGTATCTCCTTCATGAATATGCAAACAATTGTCTTTCCTTAAGACTGTGTGTTACTCAGCAGTCAGAACCAAATTGGTTTTGTAAACAACTGCTTTTAGGAGAAGCCCACTCTCATGTAATTCCTTGCTACTTTTCAGGAAACAGATACATAACTTGTGGTTCTTTTCCTATTTCAGCATACCACTGGTTGCAATTTAACATTTTGTTTAAGCAACAAATATGTTCATTGAAACTCATCTAGGAAGGAAAAAAAACAAAACAAGCACTTGGCCTTTAAATCTTCAGAAGTGGATATAATGACAGGTTCAGCCTGTTTAATGACAGGCCCAACACCACACCTTTGTTTTATGATGTTTGATTATTACTGCATAAATGTCCTTTATTACTCGCAAACATTTCCTTTATTACTCATAATAAGTAAAAATCAAATACTTGCTGACCAAAAACCAAACCCATTGCTGTCAAGTCCAACTCATAGTGACCCCACAGAACAGAGTAGAAGTGCCCCATAGGCTTTGCTTTCCAAGACTGCAAGTCTTCATGGACGCAAACTGCCACACCTTTCTCCCTCTGAAAAGCTGGTGGTTTCAAACCGTTGACCTTTCTGTTTTCTGTTAGCAGTCGAGCACTTAACCACAATGCTACCAGGGCTCTTAATACTTGTCAACGTGGATTAAAATAGGTAAGAATGCAAATAAAACTGTACTTTACAAGTATAATGAAATGCGATTTCTGATATTTTTTAAGTTTTTCAAATTTCTATCATGCACCAGGTTGCTATCCTCAGACTCATTGTTTTTGTTTGTTTGTTGGCGTTTTTGCTTTGTTTTTTTTAAGTGGTGTTTAGGCCTGGTTATGCTTCTGTAAAGGTTACAATCAGGAAAACTATGACGCAGTCGTACACTGTAACATTGAGTCTGAAGTAACTCCACAGCATTGGCTTTCTGATTTGTTTTGTTTGTTTGAATCTGTAATTCAAAGATTCCCGTGTGACCCCCAACTCCGGAGGCTGATGCCTTATCCATCAGACCGCTGGGTCACCACAGTTGTGATGGCGCCACATGAGTTGGAATCTACTGGACGGCATCTGACAACAACAATTCAGATTAAAAGCATAGCAAAACGAGATTCTGGGGATTTTTCTGTCTTTTCCTGGTTGACTGATTCAAATAGAAAGGCACACCTAAAAGAAAACTGATACAAGATGCACATCGAAGGCTGTGAAGTTCAAGCACTGCCTGGGGATTGATTTAACATGCATGACAGGTGCAGAGCTGTCACTTTCAGACATTTTAAAAGAGAAGGAGTTACTTAAAATGTATTTTTTTCTGACGCTCGATTACATAGGAAACGACTAATCAGGAAACGTCTTCAGAGTGAAACCAGCTGGTCTGGAGCTGAGAAGAATTGAAGTCCTCCGCTCGCCTGCTGGAGATCAGATGTTGAGAGCAGTGGGTCAACCTTCCCAAAAGTGTAGCCTCTCGGATTTGAGACACCCAGCGTAAAATACTTCCCGCCTTCCTGGGCGATTTGCCGCGCCAGCCTGTACGCATGCGTCCCAGTACCGACAGGGCGGACCAAACTCTCCCTCCCCCCTCTTCCACGCCCCCTCCGAAAAAAACTCCGATCGGTGTGACGTCAGACTAGCCTCCAGGTGACCAAAGAGGGCCGCGAGGGGGCTGGCTGTTTTAACTCGGGGCGGAGCCTAAGGGGGTGGGGCGAGCCCGGCCGGCGGCCCAGCTGCTAAGGAAATTCATCCTGGCCGCTTCCCCACTCGGGAGAGCTAGACCCTGCGGTGCGGACGCTGCAGTACGCAAGCTCTGCGGTCCGAACCGCTGTGCGCAAGGGTACAGCCGCTCAAGGTGCCTTTTTTCCGGAGCGGGTCAGGCGTGTCTGCTGACTCTGGTGCGCCTGGAAAAGCCCGAAACTAGCCTCCGACCGCTCGGCCATTATACGCGCCCCCAAACCGCTGGAGGACGACAGGAGGGGACTACAGCTTGCTGAACTCTCCCGGGAAAGGGAGAACGCGTCTGGAAGGGTGGACCGGGAGGAAGGAGGATCGCGAAGTTCATGGCCAGCGGTGGAGTGTCCGGGCCGTGCGCGCCTTGGGGTGACGGAATGCGCGAGGAGGACAAGGGCGTGCTCGACAGTGGCGGCAGCGATGCGGGCCTGGCCAACGCCGCAGCTCGGGGGCAAGTGGAGACGGTGCGGCAGCTCCTGGAAGCGGGCGTGGATCCCAACCGAGTCAACTACTTCGGGAGGCGTCCGATCCAGGTACCTGGGGCCCCGGGGCTTGGCCGGCAGGGGGCGCGCGAACGCAGTCTCCGTGGGTTGGGTCGCTGGGACCAAGACTTCCACTGACAGAGCCTTTTTCCTGAGTGTGGAGTCCCGGGATAAAGCAGCAAAAAATCCGAAGAAAGAGATTGAAAAATCCAGAATTTTAGTTTGACTTTCTTTTCAATGGTTGAAAAAAAATATCCAGAATATTTCCTCTTCCGTCTCATGATAAGAGAGAGATGCGAGTAATACATTCAACTGGGGAGGAAAGGGGAAAAGGAAAGGTTATTTGTGAAGGACTATTTTTGTCTACTTTCAGCGATGAAGATAAATTACAAATTACACAATCTAGAGTGGAAATTAAGAAGTGATACAAAATCATAATACTTGAAAAATCCTCCCGTGAACTTCTAAGCCTCTATATGAAATCTTTTTGTTCTCTTTCCTTTATAAAGGCGAAGTGAATACAATTGAGATGGGACTCCTCAACATCAGTACTTAATTTTTTTACCTTATGTTAACAACCTCCCTTAAGTGTTACATAAGAGAATATATATATATTCCCATACATTTTTAATAATTATCATACGGAATTCTTGGATTACAAGAGCATTGCTGTAGCAACTGTTGATCCCCTTTCAATAGCAAAATGTCTTCATAATTAACCATTTATTAAAATATATTGGCCATTAATTTCATTTTAATTAATGTGACCCTACTGCTGTGGAGTGGAGTCCTTATGACTCATGGTGACCCTATAGGCAGAGCAGAACTGCCCCCAGAGGGTATCCAAGGCTGTCAATCTTTACTGGTAGCAGACTGCTTCATCTTTTCCTGAGAGGCGATTGGTGAGTTCCAACGGCCAGTTCAGTGAAATGCTTAATCACTGCGTCATGGCGGTGGTTATGTGCCATGGAGTCAGTTTCGACTCATAGCGACCCTGTACAGGGTTTCTGAGGCTGTAAATCTTTACGGGAGAAGCAAGCCTCCTCTTTCTTCCGGGGGAACAGCTGGTAGTTTCAAACTGCTGACTTTGAGGTTCACAGACCTCGTAACCACTACGCTGAGCCATAGGGGCTCCTTTTTCCGCTTTAATTTGCACTTTTAAATTCGATTAAAATCTAAGTTTATGCTTTGTGCTTTATTTTTAGCAATTATGGTTCATATTCAGTACTCATTACCTTTCAGAACTAATGTATGTTGTTTTTTTAAACATGTTCATTCCTTTTGAATACATAGAAATTCTTAGAAAATTGGTATAACAAGTGAGAGATCATTTATCGGCAATAAAAATATTAAAGAGTGGTTTTTAGAGACTTGTTTTATATACTTTTAATTCATCTGAGATTTTTAAAACCATTTTTTCATTTTCTCTATATATAGAGTCCCCTTTACACCGTCAGTAGAAATGATAAATTATATCATAGTCCTAAGGAAAGAAATTGATGCTTCTAATATTCATCAAACAAAAACGTATGCTGTCTTTCAGTCACATGCTCCATTTTAAAGCACATAAACCCACACCAAAAAAAACCCTTCGTTTTGAAAAATTAGTAATCAAAATTGTTTTACAGTTCATTTAAAAATAATAAAATTCTTACATAATGTGTATGCAAATGGTGCTATAGAATTAATCTTCCAAGATATCATTTTTTTCTAAATTATTCATTGTTCTGATTTGAATGCTAAGATACAAGCATTTTTATACAACAAAATATTTATTATTTAACATTATAGAATCCTAACCAAATTGTACAAGTTTGTTTTAGATGTTATATGAAATATACACTAAACTTTATATTTAACATTAGCTGAAAATACTAAAAATGTTGAATTAGTTAATAAAAATGTCATTTATTTTCATCATATTGTACAACTATAAGTGATTTTGTTTACTTTTTCCTCTCTGCCTCCAACTTGGGCTCAAGTTATAGGACTATAATGCATTTATGAGTGCAGATATTCATGAAATAAAATAAAAGCCTTCCACAGGAGAACTAAACAAATGTAAACCTCTCAACTTATCTTACTTCTTGTATTACCCCAACTTCTAAAAACAAAATCTAAATATGTTTAGACCTGTATAAGGGAGCGAAGTGGCTCCATTCGCTAAGCACTAGACTGCAAAGCACAAAGTCTGTGTGTGGTTCGAGCCCTCAGCCCCTCAGCAGGAGAAAGATGAGGCATTGTGCTCTAGCAAAGATTTTAAAAGCCTCAGGCAAGGGCCCCTGTGAACCCATTCAAGAAGGATGCTTGACAACAATGATGAGGAAGGAGGAGTGCAAGGGAACAACTAACTTTAAAAGCCACTTAAACGCCTAAATCGTAAAACAAAATAGATTTCCAGGTTCCAAAATGGAAAACTAGAATTTTATTTTTTCCTACAAGATAGCATTGTGTCTTCAGCTTTTTCTTGCCCCCCCCCCCCCCCCCCACACACACACACAGTTGAAGAATATAATGAAATTCAGTCTGAGGCTCTCCTGTAACCCTCGTTAGGGCTGTGAGGAGTCAGAATTAACTAGATGGCAGGAGAACAAGTTTAATTGGCGGGAGAAGGGGGAACTGCGTCAGCAACTGAAGAGTAACCAGACACCCAAAACCTGTATGCTGTTCAGCATTAGCTGTGTACTTCGTATCTATGTATTCCTTAAAAGTAGCCTTACCCACTCGACTGGGGGTCTTGTACCCAAACAGCTCACTGACCCGCCTGTGGCCCTGACCTATCTGCTCTTCCCATCGCAGGTCATGATGATGGGCAGCACCCGTGTGGCAGAGTTGCTGCTGCTCCACGGGGCGGAACCCGACTGCATGGACCCGGCCACCCTCACCCGGCCGGTGCATGACGCCGCGCGAGAGGGCTTCCTGGATACGTTGGTGTTGCTGCATCAAGCCGGGGCGCAGCTGGACGTGTACGACGCCTGGGGCCGCCTGCCCGTGGACCTGGCTGAGGAGCAGGGTCACCACGACGTCGTCCAGTACCTGCGTGCAGCCATAGAAGTCTGATGGTGGACGCCAGCTAGCCAGGACCTTTTTCTTCCCCAACCCCCACCCCTCCTGTTCGGTGACCACCACAAACATGAATCGGAGGAGAATCTGCAAGCCTTCCAGAACTGAGGAAGATGGAGCAGACCCGGAATTAAGTTCATTTGTGTGTTTTTGTTTTGTTCTGTTGGTTTTTTGCTGGATCAGCCCCTCTATTCTCTTGGTGAAGCCAAAGACAGAAAGTCAGGGTTCGCGGGTTGATTTCCAGCAAGATTTAAGGGTGGGATATGGTATTTACTTTTCGGTGTTTGCTGGTGGAAAATGGTGTGCGAAGAAATATCTAAACAACCCCAACCTCCTGCAAATCTTCAGACTGCCCATGATAGGGAGGAGAGGGGAGAGGCAAGGTTGACGTTTGGGTGCGGAGAGGCGGTGCGTTTACCCTACGGTTGGTGGAGACGGGCCTCATGAACTGCGGACACAAAGCCCTGGGGCAACGTGGGAAAACCTGGACGTAGGCAGACAATGAAGAGGGACATCTAGGCCCTGTGAACAACGAATCTTTTAAACGATGTGGTGTACGCGGCAAGTCACGCGTAAAATGGTACATTCTGGAAGCCCTGGGAATGTGCCTGTTTCCACGCGATAATGGAGGGGGAAGAGAGATCATGGGAGCAGAAGATTTTGCTGCAAACTCTGCAATCTCTGGATCACTGAGATGCAGAGCCGCTCTCCAAAGGGCTGGCTTTTTGTCGGTATTCGGCCCGGGAGCGTTTCTGGCCCACATTCCAGACGCTGCAGGAATCCAACAGCGCCAGCAGGGCCCTCCCGCCCGAAGCGCCCACAGCCTGAAGTGGATGTTGAGAAAGGAATTTAGTGGTGGCTAACGGTATCGGTAGCGGCTAACGGTATCTATCGGTAGAGGTTTGCTTCATCTACTTAAAATAAGATACAGAAATTGCCAGTTGAAAAGATTTCGTACGTCTGAAATGTTCTTCAGTAACAGTTTTATATAATGGACAGACTTCTCATTTTAACTAGCTCTCGGTGCCTGGTAAAGATACAAGAAAGAACTACAGCTCTTAAGGAAGCAATAGTATAGTGGCAAACAATGCCAGACTCCTACAGTACTGTCATTCTTAACCTATTTATTTCTTTGTTAAATTTCTGACCGTTTCCTTAGCTAGGGTATCTCAGGGGTTTAAATTATTAAGTATTACACATGTCTTTTCAGAAAATCAATGTACTTGTCCAGTAAATTGTCTCAAGATATTTCCCAAAGGGGTGCTAAAAACAAAACATTGAGTAAAAACACTTGAAATGCATGATGATGACTTGTGGAATTTCTTTTGTTAGCATCAGCTTAATAAAAGTGTGCATGACTTTGAGGTTTAATTTCTGTATTGTTGGATTCATTTATGCATTGAACATCTGAGATTTATTTCACTGTTCTAATCAAAGTGGAGTCCTGGTGTGGTGCTGTGGGTTAATGCACTGGATTGTAAGGTCAGTTTGAAACACAAGGTTGGAGGTTCAAGCTCACCAACCACTTCTTGAAAACCCTATACAGGGTCGCTATAAGTCAGAACCAACTCGCGGCCCTTAACAACAATGAAAGTAAATAATAGAAATTAAACTTCAACACACAGATTCAAAATTTAGTCTAAAATGTTCATGGATTTGCTACTAACTCATAATAAAAGTTCAAGACTCAAAGGCATTCCCTTTCCTTATTATCTGTAATAATTATGTGATACCATTGATAAGAACTGCTTAAGTAAACCACAGAAATTTAAATATTAGATATGTACATGTATTTAATTTACCATATATAGATTCAAATAATCCAAAGCAATAATCTGAAAGCAGAACTGTATAAGATTTATGTGTTTGAAGTAAATGTACAAATCTCAATCAATTCCTTCTCCCCCAAATTAATGCAATACTGGAAAAGTTAGGAATCTTAGCATATCTAATGGGAAAATATAAACATTGATTGATATGTAGCCTGCTAAGCATGCTTTACATATGTTTGTTCATTTAATACTTAAAGGTGACAGATACGTACTGCTCCTCAGATGAGAATAATGAGACAGAAGATAATCAAGTTACCTGCCAAAGGTCACAAGATATTCTCTCCATGGTTGCATGAAAGTCAGTCAGTCAGTCTGGTGCCAAAGCTACGTTGTCAGATTTTTTGTGGGGTTTTTATTCCCTCTGCATCTAAAATTTGCTATGCCCACAAGGCTGAATAATTAAAATGAAAATCCTTCAAAATCTTGAATGACACATATGAAGTTCAACTAATTAATGTTTTTAGAGAGCAGAAACAAGGAGAAATCTCCCTTGTAAAATTTCTAGGCTGCTTACTCATTCTAGAACATCTAGTACAATATAATTGTAGGCATACTGTTTTAAATTATATTTTTAAATATTAACAATACAAAGTATAGTCCCCAAAAGAAAGACCTATAAAAACATTTTTGGAACAAAGATAATTGAACCCTCACTTTCAAATTAAGATACAAGGACAGAAAATAAATTTCTATTTTCACTTAAGGACTCTTATTATTGGCTATTAAGAACAGCAGTCTGTAGGTTTATAACATGTTATAATTACAAAGAAACATTTCACATAATAGAAGTCGACTGGTAATATCAAAATGCCTACTTAATTGATAAAATCCCTTATTTTGTGCTCAACTTCTTAAGTTTGAAGAGTTTCAAATTTGCTATCTGCACAAGGCTGCATGATGAAGAATGATAATCCCTTGTGAGACATATGAATCATATGTGATTTCATTCCCAATTTAAAGAAATTGTTCTTTCTTAACCTGAAATTAAGAAAAATTAGAAAATATGTAGATCCCAAAATATTATATTTTTTTGCTTATGAGTTATTTTTTTTAAAGCCAAACCAAAGCATTTTTAGAAATCACCTACTATCTGGTGACACTTAAAGCGTTAACTTATTAACATCATGTAAAAGTTCATTCATTTTCAAAGCCATCTAGCTGACAGGTGCATAAGGAGGTATACAGTTAAAAATTCCATTTTGAAGGACGGCTGTGGTGGTGCTATAGGATAAATATTTAACTGCTAACCACAGATCTGCAATTCAAACCCACCAGCAGCTCGGAGGGAGAAAATGAAGCTTTCTACTCCCATAAAGATTTACAGCTTCAGAACCACTATTAGGGTCACTACTAACTGTACGGTCGGAGGTTCAAGCTCACCAGCTGCTCCTCGGAAACCCTATACAGGGTCGCTATGGGCCAGAACCAACTCGACGGCACTTAACAACAACAACTAGCTGGAAACCACTTGGTGGCAGTGGGTTTGGTTTGGGGGCTTATTTACAAGAACCTTACTTTTAGTACTATTGTGACATTTCATAAAATTGAATATGCATGTTACTTTTATACCTAAATCTGAAACATTATACCAACATTTGTAAAAATCCTACTACACCACCTACATTCCACAAAGATCTGGAAGTAAAACAGATCCAGAGATTCAGTATTCTAGTCACTTGCCCTCATGCTTGCTTATCCTTTTTCAGCTGGACAGATTAAGAAACAAAAATGATTTACTTTAAAAACAAAATCTGCTTATAATGTCCTGGACTCTAGTGGCTAAAATGAGCAATTTCAGAAATAAGGAATAAAACATTCCAAAGGAAAGCTCAGGATTCATAAAACCCCAAGCAGCTTTAGGAATGTGTGTACATAGAAATGGTATTATAATATCTTATTTCTATATTTTGAAAAATACAATATAGTGTCCAGAAAGAAATCATTTACCTTATGTAGCTAGGTAACTAACTTTCAGCAAAGGAATATAACTAATTTCATTTACACTTCCATTGAGATTCTATCTTGCCTTTACTTCATGGAAAAATACCAAAAAGCAAATAATGTGAGTTAACCTGTAATATTCAATAGTGATTTTTTAAAACCACCACTGCCACAACTATTAAAAAAAAAAAACTCAAACTCCTTTTACTTTTATGTTTTACCACAGGCTGATTAATATTATGATAGAATATAATTTTTATAGTGTCGAAGACATTGTCACTCTCCAAAAAGAGCAAGTGGAATTAGTGTCTTCAAAAATGATTGAAATCATCACAGAAGTTCTCTTGCTGGCCGCCATCTGAGCCAAATGTGAAAACTTTGGATTGTCTCCAGTACAATCAGGTCAGCTTTCACGTTGATATCAACAATTAATCAGAACCAAATTCTGAGATGCTTACTAGGTTTTTATCATTAAAGAAACTAACAATGCATTTATTTGGTGAAGAGTAATTCTTAGGTTGGGGTAATTTCATAGTGTTAGGAGCTCCGGTAGCATAGTGGTTTCGAATCAGGCTGTGAACCTCAATGTCAGCAGTTCGAAACTACCAGCTGTTCTATGGGAGAAAGATGAGGCTTTCTGTTCCCATAAAGATTTATAGCCTCGACCCTGTACAGGGTCGCTATGAGTCGGAACCGACGCCACAGCACATAACAACAACAACAACAACAAGTTTCTAAGTTAGAGCTATAACTATGAAGAGGCTTCAAAAAGTTCAAGAAAATTTTGAATGAACAGATAATGGGTTTTTTCCCATGAACTTTTGAAGCTTCCATATATACTCCTCACACAAACAAGAAAATAATGGGGGAAATGAAAGACTTTTAGGAACAGCCATTAAACCTCAATATTCCTAACATATTCTCCAGCTCTATGTACACCCTACGTGCGTGGCATCTTAGTTACCCAGTGCTGCTTTAAGAGAAATACAGTAAGTAGATGGTTTTGAAAAACAATTTTTTTTCTCATAGTTTAAGAAGCTAGAAGTCTGAGCTCAGGGTGTTAGCTGTAGGGAAAGGCTTTCTCTCTTAGTCGGTTCTGAAGAGAAGGACCTTGTCTCTTGGAGCTTCTGCTCTTGGGCCATCTTCATGTGTCTTGGCATCTCTCTTCCCCCATGTCAGCTTGCCCACTTGCTTCTTTTTATATCTCAAAAGAAACTGATTAGA